CATATCGCAAAACCCATGCCAATACTCACCCCTAGTTATAATATCATTATAAGAAATGTCAAAGGGGCCATCCCCCCGCCCCCCACCCCCTCTAGATCTGCCCCTGGATCCTTAATGAGAGGAGCTGATGAGCTGAGATGATGGGAGGAGAGAAAAGCCGGGTATCCTGGGCTCCTACCGCGGCGTGCTGTCAGTCTGGAAATGACCCTCAGATGATTTTTCTCATTTGTTTATCTCTGTCTGTCTCTCTGTTACAGATGAAATCAAGGAGGAGTTGGAACGACAGAAGTAAGTATCCTGCTGACACGCTGCAGATGTTTGCTTCCTGCTGAGCAGCAGCCACAGAGCCGAGGAGGCCTGAAGCCGCTCGGTAGCAGCTCAGCCATTGCTTTACTGCAGTATCTGCAGCTCTGCAGACGGCCTTACAAAAATAACAAAAGTGCTTCTAGAAGAAATTCAATAAAAACCCTCAGAGTGAAAGAAACACATTTTATTTTTGGTCCAACAGACCTTAGAGGCATTAATGCTGATACTGGCACTGACAGTTTCTACTTTATACACCTACATGTAACTGTTAACTAGGCTGTAACTTTTCAACTAGCTTTCAACCTTTCTTTCCTTAATGTTTTAACACCAACCTCCTCATTTTGAAGTAATCCTCGCCTGTTTTAGTGTACCCAAATGGAAAAGCAAATAACTGAGGAACTGTGAGCTCTAATTACAAATAGTTTGAGTAAAACAGCCTCAGCTGCAGCAGTTAAACTGTTTATTTTTTATTCTTCAACAATAATAGGTCTTTTTTGATCAGCAGTAATAAAGACATGCTTGAGAATAGTCAGGTCTCATCTATTTGTTCTCCATCATGTCCATGCAAAAGGTTCCAGAGCTGTAACGGTTCCAGACCTGTAACGGTTCCAGACCTGTAACGGTTCCAGACCTGTAACGGTTCCAGGGCTGTAACGGTTTCAGACCTGTCACGGTTTCGGAGCTGTAACGGTTCCGGAGCTGTAACGGTTCCAGACCTGTAACGGTTCCAGACCTGTAACGGTTCCAGACCTGTAACGGTTTCGGAGCTGTAACGGTTCCGGAGCTGTAACGGTTCCGGACCTGT